GTGCATGGTTTGGCGACCTTCCTCTGCATTTACTAAGGTGAACTCGTTTCTTTTACCTCCGTTTTTGTTTATTTGAGTGTCTATGATATAAGCGAACTCTAAGTTTGGGGAGGTATTTCTTGGTGAGCATTCATGTTTTCTTATGTCATTATATTTTTCCCCTTAGAGTTTGAGTCTTAGATTGATATTTGCTTGTGTGTGAATATGAGATTGCATGTACGTGGAATTTTGCGATGATGACATGAGAGTCGGTATGGATTTATTGTGCTAGTTTAAATGGCTTGAGTTGATTTTATTTGGTTAAATTCTTAAGGTGTTTTTATTTTGGGGACAAAGGCATGATGGTTGATATTTTTGTGATTTATTTGTAGTGAGTTGGTTTTGAGGCGATTTGTGTTGTTGACATGTGCTTGTGATTGCTTTAATCAATGTTGATTAAGTTTGGGGACTTGAAGTTGAAAGTTGGGGTTTCTATGTCTCATAGTAGAAAAAAAGAATAATGAGGATGGAGGAATAATTGGTGGAGTTGAAAAGCCTTTGGCAAAAAAAAAATGTGATGGGCTGCAACAGATGTCAATCCGTGGGGGTCCTAATGTATAAATTCACTAATTCTTGTAGTTTAGACAATCACGAAAGGCTTAAACCCACGGGTTGTGACGGAGCTGTCGTTCCCTACTTCAAAAAAAAAACAAAAAAATAAAAGAGCGAGACATTCAGATATTGACTCGAAACAAAGAGAAATTATACTAGTTAGCAAAGAGAGGGGTCTCATGAGTTGCATTGATCAATACATTCGTTAGAGAGATTGGCGAACTACAATGGTCACTTGAATTGACACTTGACTGTTTGAATTCTTAGAATGATTTCATCTTGAGTCCAGATTAATTGATTTGAGTTGTTTGAACTATGTGCTTATGTGTGAATTGTGAGGTCCTGAGTAATATTCCACGTACTTGTTTATATCTATCTATGTGCTTTTAGTTCTAAGTTGTTTGGGGAAAGCAACAGTTTAAGTTTGGGGAGATTTGATAGGTCAATGTTCAAGTTCAAATCCGACGCGCACGAAAAATGAGAAATTTGTTTTTCATTTTTCGATTGATTATTGTTTTGTTGTTTTGGATATGAAAATTTATATGTTTCGGGTATGAAAATTTTGTACATGATTTATATGTTATCATCAGATATGAAAATTTACATGTTGCGGATATATGTTGCGGGTATATATAGTATATACCAGAGTGTACAACACACATTGCGGATATATGTTATCATCAGATATGAAAATTTACATGTTGCGGATATATGTTGCGGGTATATATAGTATATACCAGAGTGTACAACACACATATACATAAAATATACATGAAATATATACTCGAGATTCTCGTAATTTAAGCCAGCGACAGAGCGGGACACACATATACATAAAATATACTTTAATTATACACCGGAGTTTCAATTGTTTCTCAAAATCTATTTCAGAACCCACATATACATAAAATATACCTAAAATATACACTCGATCCCTAAACTGCGGATCTCATTCAGTACCCCATATATACATAAAATATACGTAAGATATACACTTCTGCAGACCTGCGATGCCGTAGTTTCGAATGAGGGTGAACAGATTCCTAATTATATCTCTTTTAGCATTTGATATGAATAGATGCCTAATTATTGGGTTAAATACACTTACCTTATCTCTTAATCCATTTTTTGCATGATTGTAGGAAGGTTGCGTGATTGTAGGAAGGTGATTAAAAAACATAACGGAAGTTTTTGCTTGAGCCAAATAAAAGCACTAAAAATGGTAACCATGCAATTAAAATCTAGCACCTCGTACTTTTATAATATTTTTAAAATCGTGTGGTAACCATGCAAATTGCCCTTTTTCTTATTATTTGCTGTCAGCCAAAACAATTAAAGGGCCGTAATCAATTTGGTATTTGGGCACCTCAAAAAATGCTTGGACTTTCGTCACCGCTTCGTAATATGCTGTAAATAAACATAAAAATATCAATGTATATGAATCTATCCAAATAATAAATAAGTCAAAAGTATAAACATGCGAAGAAAATACGTGTATAAAAAATAAACTATTTAATATATAAAACGTGCTCATTTTTCGACCTATCAATATATATATATATATATATATATATATATATATATTATTTAACTTAAAATGTATATCATAAATAATATATTTTTGTCAAATCAACCTAAAGACATGCAAATTCAATTAAACTAATTATATGGTTAATGTGCGAAGCACGTGCACCTTACTAGTATTATTGTAAAAGGAGGAATGATTTTGTAAAAAATTGCACGGACTAAAATGTCCTTATGTCTAATATAATTTTAATGGAAAAAAGGTATAGTTAATCAAATATCCTAACAATAAAAGTCCTTAAGGATAATTTTATAACTATTAAGTATCCTAATATAATCTAATAGGACTCTTTGGAAATTACACTTCATAATTATTAAAAATGCTAATATAATAGGACTCTTTGTAGCTACAGAGAAATTATGCACATTTTTCCTTGAAAAAGTAAAAATAACTAATGAGAAAACTATTTGAATTTCTTCTATTAATATAATTTATAACAAATAGAAAAATACAGAGAGAAAAATACTTAATGAAAAAATGATAACAGTAACTCATGAAGTTATGAGGTTAGCATTTTTTTAAATAAGTTATTTTCGTAATTAAAATAGCTCAATGTTCTTAATTCACGTCAAATCATTAGTGCATGTTTGGACACAATTGTTTTACAAATATTCAATTATTTTTAACCAAACACTTTTTTTTTTTAACTCAAATCTAGTTCAATCTCACTATCGGCAATATTATTGATATAATTAAGTAATATCACTCGATCATTCTTACACACTAGTGTTGNGGCGGTCCGGCCAGTCATCGAACCGGCCGGTTCGATCGGCGGTTCGAGCCTAGATTTTGGTTCGTGAGTTCCGATCCGAGTTTCTTTTCAGACTTAAAGTATTTTTCCACGCCAAACCAGTCAGTTCAAGAATACCAGTTATAAATCCGAACTTGGTATATTTTTTTTAAGCGAACCCATAGCACCATCTTTTTCATCTGGTAAATGAGCATATAGAATCGAGCATATAGCATATAAAACTGAGCATAATACTTAGCATTATTTTGCTTGTATGTTTATGTAGCCTAAGGAGAGTCGAGCCTCTGACGGCTACTACAGTCCAGCACTTGCGTCAGGTATTTTCAGTTTACCAGGTGGGGGTCATGTACTGGATCTTACATCATTTATAACATTTGTACCATGACTGAGGTATGTTCGAGATATTAAGTTTAGCTCTTATATATTGATGTTCATGATATGTTATTATATATGCTGTTTTATTCAATACTGGTCTTTGCGGAGCATAATGGTTTGCTCACGCTCCCATTGTGTTTTTCAGGTGACGGAGTCGAGCGGGCCGGGTGAGCAAGTGTGGCAAGTTGTGGTCATGAGTCGAGGACATTGTTACCACCATTTTATGTCCCATTTTCATGAACCAGTTTATGTACTAAGTTGTATGATTGTATTAATATTTTATGCTTCCGCTAAGTTATTAGTGCGAGACAGTCGGACCGCATGTATAATTCCTATCGCCACAGTTGTTTGAATAGGTCCATGTTTTTATTTTATGTCCGAAAGATAAAGTCAAGAAAGTTATCGTAGCATCCCGCAATTAAGAAGGTATTTTCGAAAAAAAAAAAACTCGCACGATATTTCAAAAATAAAAAGCGAAAAATTAACTATGATTTTCAAAAGTCAAAGCTAGTCAAGGCGGGGTGTTACAAATATTGTGTATTACAGGTGCATTTTAGAGTTGTTTTAAAAAGTTTGGAGAACATAAATGAAGTAGTTGCCAGTGGTTATGTTATCTCTATGGATGTTGTAAGAATGAATGGTGAAGACTTGGGAAATGGGTGGTGCGAAATAAATGTTCAACATCGAATGAGAAATGATGTCCATCTTATCAAACCATATGATCATATACAAACAATAGGAGACTCTCTTGGAGCTCCTGTGGCCTGGCCTTTGTCTTTGGTATGTGTAGGCATATTATTTTTTCGTTAATAATACATCTAAATAGCTCTTAAACATTTATCTTTCTTTGTTTAGGTTATGATGATTGATGCGACAATGGTGGAGCTTTTTGATTCTAAGTGTTGATGCACATGTGGGAAGAACTTTTGAGTTGTTAGTTTGTAATTTTGCTACACATGTGACCTTTTATCTTTTTTAGTTTTGGCCTAGTTAGATCTGGGAGCCGAAAACTATGTTGGAAATATTTTGCTAGTAATGTGCTACGACTCCTGGAATATTACTTTTTTTGGTGCCCTTTCTTGAACGTAGAATGGTCTAAACTATGTTACATTATAACCATGACGGAATATTATGCAGTTTTTAATGTTTTTACTACGACTTTACGGCTTTGTGGTTCTGATCTTAATATGTTTAAGATTTATAGTATATAGTGGGACTCATTGGTGATTGACATGAGAACATTATACTGAAACCAAAATGTCTGTTTATTAGGTATTAAAACAATTGTATGCATCCTTTTATCCCTTTTTAGAGACATTTAAAAGTCATACTGAAAATACATGAAATTGTTAAGACATTTAGTTGTGTTGTTAAGTTATTTGAGGACATATTTTATGTCTCAAGAAGTGTCACAATAGATGCATTAAATATATCAACCACTTGGAGACATTTACAAATGTCACAAAAGATGATGCTTAGACACTTTAAATATCCCAAGAGATTAATATCAAAACACATAAAGTGTCCCATAAAAATACTCCTTAAGACACTATAAACTATCCCAAGATGTTAGTATCTAGACACTTGAAATGTCCCGAAAATCACTACTAAAGACACTTTAAGTATCCCAAAATGTTAATATCAGGACACTTAGAGTGTCCCAAGAGATATTACTATCGTATTTACAAAACCATCTTGCGACACTTAAATGTATTGTGAAAACGTTTGGAGACGCATACATGTGTCTTGTAAAGGTAAATAATGTGACACTTTATGCAACACCACTGCTTGACACAACACCACTATATGAGACACCTCTGCTAAATATCTCAATCGGTAGAAGTGTCCCGATAGATCGTAATACGGGACACTTTTTCAGTGACCCAATTGGCAATTTTTGTTATAGTTTGGTTTGTAGATAAATTTTAGTCTTAAGCAGACCTGCAGTATTTTTGGAGTTGTCATCACGAAAAGCCTAACAATGCGACTCTTCGTCACTAAACGGATTTCCGCCGCTCTCCACTCATACGCCGCTGCAGTTCCCCGCCACAGTCAGAACATAAGTACTTGTGCTAGCCGCTTCCCCAAATTTCTGACGCCAGCTTACGCGTCCGGAGGAGGCCTGCTAGATTCCCCATGGTTCGCCACCCAGCTCCGCGGCGCAAGATTCTCCGGCGCCGATGTATGCCTCTCTACTTCAGCTATGAAAACTTACGATTTTATTTCGCCTTTAGTGATGGTTAAATGTGTATCAATTTACTAGGCGATGCAATCACTAATTTTCGAGTGATAGTGTTCACTTGGTAAAATTTTGGGTTACTCTCTTGTTATTTGTGAAGTTCTAATTTTTGTTGAAAATATCTGTGTAATAGTAGATGCTTGTGGTTATTTAAACTGAATTCTGATTATTCTGTGTAGTTACGAGTTTTGAAAGTTTTCCTTTCTCTGCGTCCTGCTCAACTTGTTCATTGTTCTGTATTATTCAACTAATGAATTAGTGGACCATGTGATGAAAATCTACCAGTTATAGGATAGTGTGTGCCTTAGATGTGTAAGATGGGAGACGGCTATAGGAAATATTTAAAAAGAATAAATAGAAAAGATATTATTAATCGATCTGAAGTTAGCTCCAATGAAAAATGTGTATGTATGTACATTTTCATACATGGAGTATGATGATGGCTCATACCATTCAGAATCTTCAAAATGGAAGATCAATGGGACTGCAGCTATTTGTTTGACCATTATTATTGTCTACTTAGGGTTGATCTCATCCTATTGAGAAAACATGACTAGTTGTAAACATTCTGAGATTTTTTCCCCATGTTGATTGTCAACCTAATAAAATTTCTTGACCCATTGGATTCCTTGGTGTTCCTCTAGGCAACTTGTTACTTAACATTGTGATATTTGTCATTTATATAACTTTATGCAGGTACGGCCAGGAAATGTTATCGAAAGAAGAGGTTAGGTTTTTCATATTTCATGTATTGTGATAATGTGAGAGTAATTAATCATATGCTAAGAGCTTACTCTGACATTGTTCCTGGGTTGCTGTTTACGCAATACAGGAAAGCTTTATGAGGTAATTGTTTTTGCCATAAATTTGTACACTGACTGTTGTTTCCATATGCATTAATCGTGATATTATTTTTGTCGCTCAATGTGTATATGGAATTTGTTTAGGTGGTAAAAGCAGATCACTCTACCCAAGGAAGAGGAGGAGCTATAATACAGGTATTTCTATAACACGTGATCATTTGATGCTGTTTAAACTATCTTACTCTATTACCGATTTTTATCCTCGTTATTTGTTATCTTCATGGTTTCTCTTTTTTCTTCACACTCCATTTGTCCTTGTGGAGAGGTGAACCATGTAAAACAATGGTATTGCAATCAATTTTGCATATTTTCTTATATTAGAGGAGATATTCAGAGGAAGATTTGTTATTGGGAAAGCTTGGAATTACTTTTGAATTAAATTGGATTCCATTCTTCTATTCTGCTTGCCAATTACTGATAGGTGGAGCTCCGGGATGTCGATAGTGGAAGCAAAGTGAATGAAAGGCTGCGAACTGATGAGAAAGTAGAAAGTAAGTATTTTTTTGACATAATGGAAAAAGAAAAAGGTCTAGAAGTATAAGTACCATTTAATTATATCATTTTTGAATTGAATGAATTTCCATGGGTAGATATTTGTCAGGCATAATGTTATAGGAAAAGTATACTAAAACATGATTCCATCTATGATGTTTGAGCATTAGTTTTCCAATCTTCTTCGTCGTCATGGGAAGATTACTAGAATATATCTTACAAGTCTAGAGAATATTTATTTTACGTTTTCATCGTCATTTTATTCTTACAAATCTTTTACATTTGATTTTATTTTTACTAATTTTTTGTTTTAATTGTATGATTTAGTCTAGATAATACTTTTTACATTTTCAATTATCATTTTATTTTTACTTATTGTATAATTTAATTGTACTAGTAAATAACTATTTGAAGGTCACACCTTGATATGGTGAGAGACAATTACTGGAGAAAGATTTTTTTTAGCTATAAAAGAATTACATAGATAGATCTATTTATGCTAAACACACATAAAGATTTAATAGGTCTCCTATCAGTATAATTAATCTACCAGAGCTGTAATTATTTTAGTAATATGTATAGTGTTTTGTGTTAAATGGCACTATAAAGTTTTGGAATATGTGAACAGGATTTCTAGCACTAAATTGTTTATGAAATAATTTACTCAACTTTATTTCATACTCAAAATCTAACTCAACTTTAACTAAACCCCATTATCTTTAATATTATTTATATAATTAAATAATACAAACAAATCATTCTTACACATCACATCAACTTTACTTCACCATTCATCCACTCACATAATTTTAACTACCTATCATTTCCAATAATTTATCTCCTACTTTTACATCAAATCTATTTTAATCATTTTATTTTAAATATTATTTTAATTCATTCTTAAAATTCCACTAACAACTAACTATACCACCTTTTTTAAAATTAACTATGGTTAACCAAAATAACTAATTTTGAACAAATTATTTCATAAACAATCAAGCCCTAAGTATTTAGTATTTAATGGATTCTTTATAGCTTTCAACTAACAATATTCTTAAACTCAGTATAACTAGGGCAAAACAAAGTTGACAATGTATTTTTTTCTTAATCATTTCTAAGTTCTAATTCATAAAAATTCCTCTCGTTCAGTATAATTTCTGTCAAATAAAGTTACGTGCAATCATAACTTGCATGTTGTGTCATCATAATTTGAATAAATATAAAATTTGTTTGCCTATTTGTCTATGGCAATATGTTGTGCCAATAAATGATCAATAGGTAAATGATTGTTTGGTCACTTGCAGTGAATATAATGCCTTTCTACAAAATTTTAATGAATTTCATTCATCCCTTTCCAAAAATTGAAGACACAGCCAATATCAATCGTAATTCTTCATTGTGATAAACACAATTTATTTTTTATTGGTGTCATCTGGGTTCCGCATGTTTAAATATTTGAAAATGTTTTGCTAGTATATTTCTTCTTATGTTTTTGTTTTCTCCACTTCTTTCAAACCCCCATGTTTATACTACTGCTGGAGTTACCTATGTAAATAATAATGATCGATTTCTGAGAGTATGCCCCAAGGCCAAAGCAGCCTGCTAGTGGATCTTAAGGCCTATTATCAAATACTAGTGATAGTATATGCAGTCGGTGCAGGGAGTTAGAGAAGTACGTTTCTGAAATATTGGTATATGTAACAAGCAGATTGACTTGAGGACTGTTTCGGGTATTCTTTGCTCTATAAGTTATCTATTTGATCTTTTTGCTCGCCACTCCATCAGTAAATAGTAAATTACGTGTTCCATAGTAAGTCCACTAAAATGGTAGTTGGATGCTACAGAGATTTATGTTGAGGAGAAGTCACTGACATACTCTTACACTGACGATGAAACTGGAAATATTGTGCTTATGGAGTGAGTGCTGCCCTTTGCTTTGGTTCTTAAGTCAAGCATACTCCGATTTTACTTTAGTGACTCGTGAAAAGGAAGAGACTTAGTTGATTTGTTCCCATCTATCATCATTTCTCAGGCCTGACACATACAACCAGCTGGAAGTGCCTAGACACTTATTTGGTGATTCTCATGTCTACCTTCAAGGTAACATCCCCTTGAACTGCGGGCATTTCCTCTTATCTTTTATTCTGTCATTTTTACTAACACTAGTACGTCACCCGCACGTTGCGCGGCCTGATGTTAAAAAATGATGTTATTAAATTATAATTTACATAAATAAATTATAATCATAAAACATATGTAGAGATCATAAAAAGTATGCTGAAAATTTTACTCATTATATTTTAAAATGTTTATCTAAATATAACATTATTAGTGAATGAAATGTATTCATTATTACCATTATCATCATAAATAATAATCCTAAGACACATGGATCCGTGACTACAGAAAAAATAAGATATAACAGGATCCGTGACTACAGAAAAAATAACATATAATTGATTCTGACAACATTTGTGATATTCAATGAAAATTAGTATTTCTCACATTAATCACACTCTTTGAAACTTTTTCCTAAAAGTGTCTTGATAATAACATAATTTTCTTCATTTGTGTTTAACTAAAGTCATTGTTACTGTTATATAGATAACCTAATATAGAACAACTTAAATAAACATGTACAAATATGAGCTAATTTAGGTTAAAAAATAGAAAAATAAATACTTAAGAAAAAAATTAAAAAATGACTCAATTTCGAATCGCATGCATTTAGTTTTAAATTAGGTGCACATACCTTTCATTTTTTTTTAATTGGGAATATTAATTTTAAATTTCATTTATTTGCAAAATAAGTCCGATGGTGATCAAAATTACGTGCAAGATGAATCACCTATTGCAAAGTTATAAATATGAACAATAATAGCAAATGTTCATTTGAATAACAAATTACTTATTTTTTTGCATGTAATTCACACAGAATGAATTTAATATAATTTTTAGAACTACGTTGATAGAATATTGTAAAATGATAGAAAAAAAAAATTAAATTATATTGTATAAATTATAAAAAAGAAAATTTTATTTTGATATAAAATAGGTTTTATGATATATGATAAGAAAAAGTAGTTGATGAATTATAGTAGTTTGCAAAGATTCGGTAGCGATAATATATTCATGTCATCACTTAAGAAGAAAAACATGTGTATAATAATAAAAAATTCACAATAGTTACACATTATGCTATTTTTATTCATAAAACATTACAATTGCATAATTGTGGATCAATTTCAAGAGATTAAAATGCAGGCAATCACTTTAATCACAAACTTTTATATGAATTCAAATTTAAGTCTAACTGAAACAAATGATATCAACTAAAAATAAAATAATTTAAACAAACTGTCTATTTTGGGCTCAGACTATTCAATCATTTAGGACCAGAACCATTGTACAACGCGGTATATATATAACAAACATTGCATTAAATAATTGAATGATAAATATATATTGTCATATTTTGTTTTTACAGTCCAAATCATATCGTCACTCTTTCTCTTCTTTATAGTTGAGACGTACTCGCTCTTTCTGTCATCATTTTGTTTCTTTCACAATATCATTCAGCAATATTAGCTTATTTCTTACCCGTAAATGAAACCAATTTATGAAGTCATGTTCAAACATTAAATCATCTAAATTTTACTTTGTATAAAAAAATGTGACAATAAATGTCCATCTAAAAGTAGAAAAATACAAGTATAAAAAACTATACGAATAAAAAACAATATAAATATACGAATAAAAAATTAATAATAAATTAACTTGTTATGCCTTTTTTCAAGAATTATAATTGTATAATTATTGTTTATTCATAAAAATACCATACGTCAATTTGGCCTCGTCAATATTTTGACAAAATAAAATTATACCAATTATAAAATAAATTATACCAACTAAAAATAAAAAAAAAAACATTTTTTTTATTTTTATTTTTGGGTGAAACAACGTATTCAATCAAACTAAAACCAATATGATTTTTCTATTTATTTCACAATTAAATACATGAGTTGCACCTCTCTGAAATCCTGTAACTTTCTCAATTTGTTTGTTATCATTTATATATTTTTAATATTAGTTCTGAAATATTTATATATTTTTTACCCATAAATACAATTAAATTTTAATGTTATGTTCGATTCTAAATTGTTATGTTTTTTTATTTTTATTTTTTTTTTAATTTTTTTCATATTCTTAGTTGATATTAATAAAAGCAACCTAAGTTCAGATAAAATGTTTTGTAAAATTAAATAATTATTCAGTATTTTTGAGAAACATTTTATATGATATGCATGTTGTACCCAATACCCATAGATGATACTTTTATATTTTATTTTTTAAAAATTCCTCCCTTTTAGTTGAATAGATTACATTGCTTATGACAAATATAACTTTATATTGTATCTTTCTCTCTCTCTCTCTGTTATATATATTTTTAAAATAAATTATAAAGTAAAAAAAAAATATAAAATTTGGTTGTGTAAGTTTGCTATTTGTTATTAATCATATTGATGAACTCTTGTATCGATATTTGCATTTTTGAGAAATATCACAATAATAAGTATTGCTATTTTTTTCAAGTGGTAAACCATTGATACTTTATTTATATTAAAATAATTAATCACCTTAAAGTATAGTTTATATGTATTATTTGCACTCCATATGTGTTATTATGAAATGATAATATATTTAAACTAATCTATAATGATAAATGTGTTATTTTTTTGAATTAAGTCTTCGTGAAAATAATTATTTTTTTGTTGTTTGAATTATCCACAAATGGTTTAACAAATAATTTTCAAAGCCATGAATATTGGAGTGTATGTCTTAACGCATAATTATGCACAAATATAATTATTTACTTAAACATGCAACTATACTCATTGTTTTAATGATATACCATACTCGAAAAATTGACAAAATTTATTTTTAGATAATAGATGTAGTATTTAATAATAATAATAACAATAATAATAATAATAATAATAATAATAATAATAATAATAATAATAATTACCAGTGGGATATTATATTCCATAAAAATATAAATAACTATACACCCATATTATTTCATACTAAGAAAATATTTATATTGCATTGTTTCATTTATTACTTTGGTTTTCACAATTGTATGTTGATGTAACTTTATTTAAATTAAGTTATTTATATTGAGTTCCATAGCCTAATACATATAATACGTAATAAATTGTGGCATTAGAAAAATATATAATGGATAAAACTTAAAATATACATTTTTGATATTTTTTTGTAAAATATTATTTTATTAGTTTGAATAATATACATTTTCAATTAAACAAATTGTAAAAATTCTGAAAATCAAATTCAATATCTCCAAAAAATTAACATTGAATGTTATTTATATTGTTGAAAGAAATGTGAATCACAATCATAAATTATTATAATAGAGATAAATTTAAAGTTCAATTATTGTAAAATAATTTGGTTATTATTGTGGAACTAATAAATAACTAATGAGTTATAAAATATGTGTGCATAATTGTCCAATTTATTTATTATCTTCGTGATCTATTGTAATTTTTATATATTGTTTTCCAACTGATAATATAAAAAATTGAAAGGTGAAGAAAATAAATAGTATGATGATAGATTGGATGTTGTTAATCATTTTCTTAATTTGTATAAGTAACGTTTTGGTGATAAATTTGAAGGAAGGATTGTCATTATTATGCCCAAATCCCAATGCATTGAATCCAAGAGTTTAATCACAATTGAGTATGAAAGATCTATTTTTTTGTTTTTTCTTTTTGTTTATAAATAACATGATAACAGAATAAAATAATATTAATTATTTCTAGTACAACCATTCTTCACAGATGATATGGAAATCACAGTCCAGCTTTATAATGAAAAACCACTAGCAGCATCGATTCCACATCGAGTAACATGCACTGTTGTTGAAGCTGGTGAGGCATTAAAGGGAAGCAGTAAATCCACGCCGTAAGTTCATACAGTTGTGTTTGATATGATTTGAACGAGGAATTCACCTAATTTAGATGCACTAACTACATAGAACATTTGATTGAATTGTATTGCCAGTTTTTT